CTATTCAGACTAGTGCTGGAAAAAGGACGCGCGGGAGCGGTTTACCATGCAGTGGCCGAAGAAGGGGTGAAAACCAGAGATATCGCCGAAGCCATTGGTGAGCTTTGAGTGTTCCCACGGAGTCCATTGATGCTGCAAAAGCAACCGAGCATTTCGGTTTTCTAGCCGCGTTTTTTGGTCGCAACTCGCCAGCCTCGAGCAAAATAACGCGTGAGGAGCTGGGCTGGGCTCCAAAGGAACTTGGTTTGTTGGATGATATCCGCGCCAACTATGCTGGTTGAGCTCTTCGAGACATCGCAAATAGTTTAGATAGTTCAGCGTTGAAACCCCGACGCAGTGCCATTTTTATAGTTTTATATGTGTCTCTGGTTTCCGCTCGTTTGCTGCACGGCCTGGAGTCACCATTCAAATGTGAACGCCCTAGTCAACCTATACACACCACCGCTTATTGTCAGTTTTGCCTAGCCGCTGCTCTGAAAAAGCAGGTATAAGCTTTCGAACCCGGCAAGCTACGATACAACCATTTTATGCCGTTTTCAATGCAACCTTAACTAGATCTAACGTTATAATAGGATTTCAGTTTAATTTTGACATATCAGTGGATTTGCCAAGATCCAGGGCCTTATCAAACGCAACCGCCTTTTCAATGGGCAAAATTGGAACTCTGAAGCGGTTTTCCAACAGAAGCGCCAGATTGCATATCATCACTCGAAGCTCATTGAAAACCAACTGACTAGTAGCACTTTAACTGTTCCGTAACGCTATTCAGTCTTGTCAAAAAAGCCACCTGCCAGTTAGCAGCTTGCAAGGTCCACTGCGTTAGTCGCTGCTCCTCCTTGCGCTGGAAACCAGAAAGACGCCCGGAATTCTGACTGGTTTGTCCGGATACTTCTCAGCAATCTCATCGACAACCAATTGCACTGCACGGTCCTTTTCTTCTTCTGCTAGGGAGTCAAAAATGCCGGACATCGCTGGGATTCCAGACCGAACCAGAAACTTAGCAAACACTGAAGCGTCATCTACCTGGAGATAGACTTCCTTGGGTTCGATTCTGATGTCAATGAAACCTGCACTTTCAAGCTGTGACCTGATCCATGCTTCGGAAGCCCAGTTGGCAGGTAAGGGCGCTGGCCTCAATGATGGGTCAATTTTAGTCACCACGTTGCGTAGTTCTAACCATTGGTTTTCTCGAAACGTTGTGAAGCCCATGACTCCACCTGGTTGCATAATGCGATGAGCTTCGCTGAACGCTGGCTCCGGCTTGGCGAAGAACAGAACAAGTGAGGCAATTACGTGGCTAAAGCAGGAATCTGGGAATTTGTTCATGGCTTCTACGTTGCAAACCTCGAGCTCTAGTTTGTCCCAAAGTTTGTTCCCTTGGTTCGCGATCTTCGTTCTGCGTACAGACTCCACCATGCCTGGACTGAGATCGGCAGCAGCTAGCCTCGTGTGATTAGGCAACCGGTCTGCATACTTATTGATGAGGATTTGCATCCCCAGTCCTGTTCCACATCCATTGTCTAAACACCGGTAGCGGACTCGAAGGGCAACAAACCAATCTAAAGTGTGTAGAATGGCATCAACAGAGTCTCTGGGAGGTCCGCGTTGTGTTTTCTCGGCATATTCTTTGGCTTGCGAGCCCCAAAGATCAGACATCTTGACCAGGCAGTAGGTTCTTATTGCTAGAACGCAGGTACACTAGCAGTTAGGACGATATTGCCGTGAAGACAGGCAGCGTACTGGTGGTGGGCAAATATGTGCAACACAAGAATCACTAGATTCTAGTCGCTTCGTGCAGTTAAACTGCAACTGGTATGGGACATTCAGAAGGTTGGATATATTTGTAAGATAAAGGCCATTCAACGACACACTCCGTTACGACATGAAAGGTCAAGATGCCAACAAAACTTAGGAATGCCTTAAAGTTGGTGATAATAACTACTTGGAAGACTTACACTATGATGGTGATGCCAAACCTACACATCTTATGCCAGAAGTGAATAATGGTGTAATAAGAGGAAGATTGTAACAGACAAGAGGGGTTTGTTGAAATCAAGAGATTCACTACGGTTCAGCAATGAGTACCGAGGTAGAAAGCTACAATATGAATGTGTGACGCAGGACTAGAAACTTAGGAAACAGTTGTTAAGAGCGTCCTCGTTCCAATACCATATTTTCAAGAGCTGTCTGAGCGAGAATTGGGTTTCCAACGTCAGAGCTTGCAACTTATCTTGAGCAAACGACAAAAAGAGGGAGAGTTGGGAAAATGGTTAGTAGTGGTAGCAGAATGAGCCTTCTGAACAATTTTGTCCAAATCACCCTAGTAAGAGTGAGTGATGATGGCATATTGGAACTCAACTTGTGTCCCGGCCGTGAAACGACTTCGATGGGCACGGCTAAGGTGTTCGCAATTTTGCCATTGGTCTCGGTTCGTGGCGTATGCAACGCAACGTTTGGCGGGTGAGACTGCAAAGATCCCTGTACATTTTGGTGTCCTAGCCATGACCTGTGGTGTTGATGCACCAGCCTGATGTGCAGTGGGTCGCAAAAAGCTTAACTGGGAGTCAGGGAAGCTTGACTTGATAGATTGGAATAGCACCAAGTCTGTTCTTGGAGAAATGGCGCAAATACACGGGATCACTCTGTTCGCATGCAGCCCAAGTGACGTTTGTAGCATGCAAGAAGGAGTTGTTCTGTTGAATCTGATCCTTCAGACTCATGGGATTGGCACTTTTCAACAGGTGAGAATTTGACTATAATACTAGCTGCGGTTCTTGTTTAGAATGGAAAGCGGACCATTGACGCAAGGGTTGCTCAAAAGGAGAATGCAGTAAACCGGGATTAACAACGCATTGCAATGAATGGACCACAGATTGTAGTAGCGTTCTTAACGGTACTGGTACTGGGTAACTTCCAGCTCGGGACGAACCTTTCTTTAAAATCCATCACCACTTTCACATCTATCTGGAATAATAAAGGCTGGTTAAATACGTTAGTGTTGTAATAACGTAATAACGCTGCCGAGCTATCGAAAGGATTTGGTTTGACTCAAAGATTGAGTCCGGGGGTTGTTCAGTAGTGCGTTTGGCGGAAACTTGGAGATTGACAGTAATACTTTTGATAATTGCAGTAGCATTGGAGCACACCACTGATGTTTCACGGTGAGAGTAGAGGAATCTTCTACTGTGGTCAACGAAAAAAAAAAGATTCACGCTGGTTGAGATCAATGTTCAGGTCATTTTCGGCAGGATAAGTTAGGAGACTCGGCCCTTTTACAGTGGAACTGAAATAAGCGTTCTTATGTTCAACAAATCATCCAGGAAACCTTGAGGCAATGCCCTGGTCTTGGTGATGACATTCCAAAACACTTTGGTGAATAGCAACAGTGGGAAGATGCTTTGATAAATCTGGCAGCATTGAGCAGAAGTCTTGTTATTGGAAAATCAGGAGTTGGTAGCGTTGCTAGAATACTCCTACTCGTTCAAGCAGCACTCGAATCGAATCATGCTACTTCAAGTAATCTGCATTTTCGCCCTGTCATCTCGATAGAATTGTGATAGCATTCTCTGATATTTCGACAGGTTTGATGACACTGCAGTCATTCTTGGTGGTGGCGTATGACTATCCTGCGCATTCTCAGTGGTAGCGCCGCAGCATTTTTTGCGTAGCAGCAGTGTCTAAATAGTGAGCTTCTTCGAGTGGTGTGAGTTAATACCGCAGTCATTCTCAGTAGTAAAGCATTTTCTGAGTAATAGCATTGTCAGAATATCGAGCTTCTTCGGGTAGTATCAATTGACACCTAGTCATTTCAGTGGTATCGTCGCAGCATTGTCTAAATATCGAGCCTCTCTAGGTAATGCAACTCGATACCCAAATCTTTCCTAGTAGCAGCGTCGCAGCATTGTCTGAATATCAAGCTTCACTAAGTAATGCAACTCAATAACAGAGTCAACCCCGTTAGTATTGTAAAAGCACTGTCAAAGTTTCGAGTTTGTTTAAGTAGTGTGAAAGTGACACCGCAGTCATTCTCAGTCTTAGCGTCGCAGCACTGTCTGAATACCTTAAAGCAGTGTAACTCAATACCCCAGTCTATTATACTAGTGGTGAAGTAGCACTGTCTGCGTAGTAGCACTGTTTTTTTCCACTAATATTGCATCGATATTCACAATCGCATGTATTGTATTGTAGTAACCCACTAAACTCAATTCTTCAAGCTCAAAGCCTCCTGTACTACTGCATGAATACTCACAATTACACCACACAACCATCCAATTCCATCTCCAATTAGTCAGTCTATTACTCATCGCTCACTCTTCTTTCACTCACTCACTCACTCGCCCATCGTGCAACGGATCTCGGTACAACTATCACAAATCACCACTACTTCAAACCTCTAAATAAGCGTATTACCAGCCCATATTTCTTCAACATTCTGAGCCATTGCCACTAACACTTCAGTTTCTTTCGGAACCGGCTGTATTACAGCAGTCCTGTGTTATTAGTGATTATCACGAACTAAGACTGTTGATGTGAATAACATATACCCTTTCTAGCAACACCCTTTCTTATAAAGACATTAGTAACTAGGGAACACCATGGAACCAAAACGAACCAAAACGAACCAAAACGAAACCAAAACGAACTAAAACAACGAAAACAACGAAAGCTTGGAAAACAACGAAATTAACGAAGACGAACCCTGACGAATCAGGGACTTTCAGCGGAGATAAACCTTGACAAAGCACTCCCAACTCGGAGATTGCTCGTAGTTCTTAGTGTAAACCTTTAACAAGGACTGGTACGACAAGCCGGTGGCAATAATTCTGTGTTTTGTATATAAAGAGCTCTATCTCTGTCCAAGATACTTGTTATACTGTTGTTATCAATAACTCTAACTGATAACCATATTTACTGGAACAATAGTCATACTTAGTACACTACTCAGTACAATAGCCAGTAACTAGTTTGTCAACAAGAAACATATAACCCCCACTCAAACAATGAAAGTGTTTGTTACAGGAGCATCAGGTTTTGTCGGTGGAGCATTCGTTCCAGAGCTGTTGAAAGCGGGCCATAAGGTGGTAGCCCTAGCACGCTCCGACAGTGCTGCGCAGAAAATCAAGAAAATGGGATCGGAGATCGAAATCGTCAAGGGCACCATTGAGGATCTGGACGTGCTGGAAAAAGCTGCTGCTGCTTCAGACGGTGTGGTCCATTTGGGGTTCATCCACGATTTCAACCAGTACGAAAAATGCTGCTTGATCGACCGGAAAGCGACCATCGCCATGCTGGAGGCTCTAAAGGGCAGCAACAAGCCATACGTGCAAACTGCAGTGTGTTTGGTTTTCCCGCCGGACGTGCTGGGCACCGAGACCGGCAAAAAACACACCATGGGTGCTGCCTCTCTGAGGTCCGAAACCGAAGACATCGTGATGAGCTACAAAGATAAGGGCGTCCGGACCTCGTCCGTAAGACTGCCTCCAAGTGTGCACGGCAAGGGAGACCAGGGGTTTGTCACCGGGTTGATCAAGATCGCCAACGCCACCGGAAAGTCCGGCTACATCGGCAGCGGTGCCAACGTGTGGCCTGCCGTCTCACGCTTCGACGCTGGACGTCTTCTCAAGCTGGCTTTGGAAAAGGGCCAAGCCGGCTCCGCTTACCACGCCACTGCCGACGAAGGTGTGAAGACCAAAGACATCGCTGAAACTATCGGCCAGCTTGCGGGACTCCCTGTGGAGTCCATCGAACCTGCCAAGGCCGGCGAGCAGTTCGGAAGCATGTCGTTCTTCTTCTCCATGGGTGGTCCAGTGTCAAGTAAAATCACCCGCGAGCAGCTTGGCTGGGAACCCAAGGAACTTGGTCTGCTAGATGATATCCGCGAAAACTATGTTTTCGAAAAGTCTACGTAGTGTATCTACACAATAAGCTAGGTCTAGGCATGCGGCGTTGAAAAAAATCTATAATACATGGCCCGTTCTACTCTATTGTTCTTGTTTTTGTTGTTGTTGTTAGTGTTAGTTAGTTAGTTAGTTAGTCTTCTCTAGCCCGTGCCGTTCATGAAAACGTCTTTTTCGAAGATATGCTGGACCCCATACTGGTTTTTGACCACCTTGTCTATAAGAAATGAACAGCATACTTTCCCCACCGTGTTCTGTCAATCATATGCTAATTCTTTAGAGAGATTCTGACATTCTCGACTTTCGAAACGTCAATCTACGTTCCATACGTTGACAATGAATTGAAAATGGCTGACTTCTGCCTGGGTAAACTCTAAAGTCTTTCCCGTCGCGCGATCGTCGCGGTTGTATGCACACCATTGATAACCGGAGCACCCCAAAGCCTCGCACTTTTGAAAACCACTCTTTTGTCCCAGCGCTTTTTGAAGCAGCGACAAATCTGACCTTGCGGGAATCACTGCGCCATTAACTTTGATGGGCGTCGCATAAAGCTCAATCAAATCTTCGGCGCAACTATAAGCTTCTCGAAGTGACTTTTGTTTGGCAAAATCAGACGCCCAGGATTTCCACTTGCAATACCTGGCTCCGCCATTCAGCCAAAGAAGCTTGTTATTATCATCAAAATGTGCTGGCTGAGCCGAACATGTATATGTGATCTTCTTCTTGTCATTTCGGGTCAAAATACCTGAGGCGCCAGCTGGATTTTTACTGAAACGATACTGGTCGGTACCAGCTATAGACTGACCCAGCCAAAAGAGCTCTTTCTCCCCATGAAAAATCTCATTTGTTTCCTTCCAAAGGTTCAAAGCGGTAGAAATAAGAAGACCGGGAATATGATTTGGCCTCTTCAGAACAAAGATCCCGGTTTCCGCTACATGTTTATAACGAGATTGGAAGACGTCGCTGTGTTTCATCATAGCCTCGCCAGTATCAAAATCGAAGATTGATGCCTCGATCTTAGATGGCAACAGCCTTTTCAAGTAACTCAATTCCCTGCGCGTTATATGTTCGTCAATGAGCCTGTCCCTGAAAAAGAAAGCATCCGTTTCCCTGTAACCATCTTTGTTAAAAAAAGAGCTTGGTTTAACAAACAGCACTGCATCCACATCCAAGAAAATCATTTCCTCGAACGAATTGAACAAGGTAGCGATCCACTTATTGGAGTACCTTTTGAATAAAGGTGAAAATTCCGGTCCTACCGATTTTTCTGCATCCACAAACCAAAGCTCCTGCGGATATCCCAACTCGTAGTTTGTGTCATTCATTTCGATGCTTATTGTGTCTCTTCCAACTTTGATGAGTTCTTGCATAGAATTGTCCGATAGGTCTCCTTTATGCACTAATTGGATAGGTAATTCGTTATGGAGCGCTCTGAGCACCCTGAGCAGCCGTTTGGCGTCGGAAACGCAGCTGTCACTTACACTAATCACCAAGCCCCGGCCTTTCATTTTGCCCTTTACCTGCTTCCAGAACGAAAAATCAGAAGAAATGGGTGGCCCTGAATTGAGAACACCGTCTGCCGCAGGAAATCCTTCGATAGTCAGTCCGTCCCACCTTCTAAAAGTGGGCAAAATACCGGTAAACGTGGGAAACAGTCTGTCTTCGATTTTTCTGATATTCAGGTCCCCGTAAGGCGACGAATTCTGGATGAAGCATTGACCGAAAACCCTCATATGACGAACAGACTCCAACACATGCCTCCTCGAAAACAATGGCGTGTGCGCATCGCCAAAGCTTCTTGTTTCCCATTCGTTATCGAGCGAACTTAAAGTTCTGAAGTATTCGGAGCACTTTTTTTCAGCGAACCTCAGCCCAGTAAGGCTTTCCTCTCGCTGTGACTCAAGTAGAGAGTTTATCACGATTTTCGACAGCTCACTTGAGCGCCACGCTTGGAGGAAAGAACTCAGTGTGAGTAGTGACAGTAAAAACAAAACCAGAAGACACAGTCTACGATACCGCCTGCCATGAAGCATCACAGTCGGAACCGACGGCATGCTGCGTTTCATATCCAAACGGCAAGCAACTTGGAGTGCAACAAAGATCTAGTGTAGTGCGTTGGCATCTTCAATTGTATTACTTGACATAACGGCTGAGATACTTCTTCCAGCACATGGTGCATTCGTCATGCTTTCAAGATCTTCATCATGCACGATATTTTTAGCAGCGAATCGCACACGTTGAGTTGCATTTGACGACGTTTTGAATCCGCTTAAAATCGCTGAAAGTCATTGAGTTGATCGAAAGCTATCACAGGATTCACCACACTGTAGCAGGAGTTGTATTTTTTTGGTCATAATCATTGCGAAGCACCTTTCAAATTTTTGCATGCAGATTCATGAGGATTTCTTTGAATTTTGGCGATACATTTGATGACTGCCTATTTTACAAACTTGGGCGGCTATTCCCGTAGCAAGTACTTCGGGTATGCCTGGCTTCAAGCCTCTGGTTAGCCGATTGAAAGATGGAAAGTTGGGAGGACTGAATATAGTGTCATATGGCTTTTTAATTTCCTAAGTGTCACATGCCTACAATAAGACCCAGAGCTCGAATACGTCATAATGCGTTGAACAGGAAACAAGACAAATAATGCTAGCCTACTTGTAGACAATTGAAGTTCGAGCTACCGTCCAACTAGACTTGCCTAATGGTTCCGTATACAACTTATGGGAATTTGGGATCATACTTATAGCCTAGCTGCGAGTTCGCGAGATTCTGACGCTCGTCACGTGACTGCGACGGTTTTACAGCCTTCGTTCGACTTAGCAACTTGATTGCGTACATCATCTTGGCTTTAAAAAAGTCTATCGCCTCTATCGGGGACTTTTATCTCTTTTCCACCATCGAAGTGGCTGCTCCACCCAGAACTGGGGAAGAACCCCCGGACTCGCGAATCACGTCGTCAAACACGAATGTGGGCTCGCTAATTAACAAGATTCAATCATTGTCAACGAGGTCATCGCATTGAGTCAACGGGCTTAGTTGCAACAGGAACCGTCGATGGTCGAGAATTGTACCATTTGGAATCTTACTCACGTATTTAGTATGTGTATTAGTCGATGCAAATGCAATATTCTCTTCTCCTTGGGCTAGAGCTCGTTTTCAATACCACTTTCTTCACTGGACTGGTCTTCTAACATCTGTCCGTCATCACCTTTGATTGCAGACGATTCTGCAGTGCAAGACGAGCTCAGATCAGTATCTTCACTTGTCCACTCTGTGGGAATATTTTCAACGATTGGCATATCCGAACATACATCAAAGCACTTCATGCGGTTCCTCAACACCATCGCGTGTCTCAAGTTCGAGCTCGACAGCGAGAACCTATTGTCCAGGGCTCTACTGCTGATGGAGAAACATTGTTCAACATCAGCAGTCGATAATTTTGTGTTGTAGAAAGAAAGCGCCAGTGAACAAATTGCGGGAAAGCGGCTCTGGTTCCTTATCCAATAGTCCAAATATGTTGTATTTTCCTCAGATGGCTCTCTCAGGTAAACCTCCCATTCTCTCAAGACTGCAGAGGTCTCCACTAATCTCGCTTGCTGCTCGCCGTGGTTGAGAAGTATTGATGTGACGTTTTGTCTATGACGTCCAGAAATGGATCCATTGGGGGCCCTTTGATCTTTGGTCCTCAAAGCATCTTTTAAACCCTCGCCAAATCGTTTACAATAACTCGTTACGTACCGTTCAGTTGCTCTCATAACTTCGTTTCGTAAGGTATCATTCAAGGTTGCTTCTAGTAGGTCCAGCTTGCAATGTGGCTGCAGTATATGAGCTACCCAATATCCAGTTTCCTTATAGGCGATAGTCTGGTATTTCTCAAACTTGGGGCGCGAGCTAGCCACCGCATCAAGAATTTTTCTCATTGTATCGTCGGGAGGTAAGTCGGTGACTGTAAGACCAATTCCTTGTAATGTCTCCACATCTATTGCGCCTTTCTGCATAGTTTCAATGACGTCGTAGTACCGATTTATAGCTTTGTAGTAGTCGATCCCATTCACAACGGAGTTGGTCGAGTCGTTCTGGAGAAGCATGGCGAACTCTTCGAACACGCGCGTTACGCGAATGAAAAACGTCACAGATTGTATTTCTTCTTTGCTGTAGCAGAAAACAGGACCACCTTCCGGCCTCAGTTGAAATTCTGGCTGAAGCCGATGATTGAAGTAAAAATTCTTAAGTTGTTTGGATACTTTGAGGAAGGTCTGGAGCTGGTCAAAGCGTGAAAGAAAACTTGCGGCTGTATACTTTGGAGTAGAGCAGGGAAGGTAGGCTCTAAGTTTTTCCTTGACAAAAACATTGCTGTTGTTATAGTATGAGATCTTGTCAATCCTTGAGAGCAGGCTAGAGTGATGCATTTCAAAAGCTTTGAATAAACAATGAAAGACGTCATTCAAAACATCGTTCATACACCGAATCTTGGTAATGTTGCTAGATTCAGCAACGCCAAATCCTAAGTCAAGAGCTTCATCGAGGTTATCTAGCACTGAGATATTGTTTGAATCATTGTCCATGGTGATGCTGCTAATTTTGTGAGTGATCGAGTATTTGGTGAGACATGTCAATAAGGCAGCCTTAAGGTTTTCACCTGTGAGCCGTTGATCACTCATGTCTATGAAATCAAGGACGTGTGTGTTCTGATTTCCTTGATTAACCAAGTCATCCTTCTCCAAGTGCGACTTGGTTTTTAGGTTAGGGCAGAATGATATCATGACGGCTAAATAGCTCTTTTTATTTGAAGACGTCCACATGTCTAGTAGCAGGTTGAAGTTGAAAGAGTGTCGCAAAGTTGACTTCAATACTTTGCTGAATTCGTATTCATAATCGTTCAGAAGTCTGACCAACCCTTTACGTGATGAAATGATAGGGCGATTAGAAGTATTGAGGAATCGTAGAAACGTTCTCATCGCAGGTGCCTCGACCAAATGTAGCGGGACGAAATTTTCAATAGAAGCATG